TATCTCCATACCAAATTTCAATTGAATAGGTTAAGTTAGATTCCCCATGCAAAATGCCAACCCCTTTCTACCCCCTTAAATGAGATATCCGGGATGAAATCTATCCAATGTCCTCAAACTATCTTTATACCAAATTTCATCAAAATCGGTTCAGTGGTGTAAGCGTGAAGAGGTAACAGACAGACCGACAGACAGACATTCAGACTTTCGCATTTATAATATTAGTATGGATACGTACATATTATATGTAGAAATTACACCCACACACGAATAAAAATAGTTATCGTCCTCGTCACACGTATTTATCCTGGGTGTGAAGAGTCCAAGACCTCTGAGTCTACTGGACTTGTCAAAATTCTACTCTTTTTATGGCTCAGATATATACCCATATATCTGTGTGTGTATCCACACACACAGATATATGGGTATACGAGTATATCTGTGTTCATGTAACCATGAGCCATAAGATAGATATGGGTACATCTAGTTTGAAAATAAAACACAGTCTCAATGTAACTTCAATGTATTATCTGTATTTCCAAAAAATATTTTAGTGTTACGAAGCGAGTAAATACTCGTATATCGAACAGTACCTACTAAGTGCTAAATACTTGATCTTTGTTTTCCCTTACTCAACCCTACTCCTACATGAACTTTCCAAACGAGTCACTCTAAATATAATAGACAGCGTTTCCAAGCAAGAGTCCTTAAATTGACTACACAACGCCAACGCCCACAAACTATTAAAGACCTATTGATATATTATGAGCGTCATTGTTACAGGAATGTTTATTTTTAACTTAGATTATTTTTTCCTTTTTTATTCAACTACATAGCTATTTGCATACATAGTGGAATGATCAAAAAAAATCGCCTCGTAAATTGACAATAGTACTTGCGTGTGAAGGGGATAAGTGTTTCATCGCACGTAAATCAAAGCTATTAGTGTGGTAATGGATTAACATACGGAGTGTTACCACCTCTATTCATCCCCTGGGTGTCGTAAGAGCCGACTGAGGAAACAAACTATGTAGGACACCAGCATTGCAGAAAAAGGAAAACTTGAAACAAACCCTATACCAACACGTGTGATCAGCGTTTAGCGATTAGGCCGAAACCTCCTCTTTAAGGAATGAACTCTGTCCCGCAGTGGACTATTGAAGGCTGTTGTAAAAAGTACAGGCTCTGCCTAGTTTGGGATCAGGCGGCCGTGTATGAGATGTGTGAGATATATAATTTGATGTAAGGCACTCCACAGCACGTCCTTAAGAATAGAAAATATGTAACTATAAATTAGTTAACGTATATATTAACATAATATGTATATATAGTATTAATGTATAAATATAGATTAGTAGGATTTATGTATGATAAATATTTCATAGGTTAATACCTTATTTATTTCTCTAATTTCTGTATACCTATCACCAGTTCAAAATTAATCCAGTCCATTAAAAGGTTGCCTGTAAAAAAATGCACTAAGCGAAGAGACCGCTCTTTTTTTCGATTACATTAGTTGTTAATTACTTTATAATGTCTGTAAAACCCTGGTGTACAAATAAAGTATTAATCTATCTGTCTATAAATACCACTAATCGAATAAGTTCCAATATATTCCAACACGTGTAATAATAAAACCTATTTCATTTTTTTTATGTAAACAAATTGTTGTGTGTGTGTTTATTAATACCGTACAGTCTATATTAACACTGTATGCACTCTTACGGATGCAAGGGACAGGGATTTAAGGCTAGGTATTGAAACAAATCCGACATGCCACCGACAGGTGGTATCCGAGGGGATTTCCGCACGGAAAGAAAAAAAAAAAAAACAAAAAAAAAAAAAAAAAAGGTATTGAAACAAAAGCACGCTGTAATTGACGATGTTCGGTCTGCGACACATTTTGTTATGTTTAGTAATATTTGTGTATATATTTTTGAAATTAACTAAGCAATATTATGTGAAATTCTAATAAAATGAAATCAAAGTCTAGTCCAGAAAACACTGTATTATCCATGTTTCAATTAATCTAAGCACAGTTCGATGGTTCCTAGGCCAGAGATAGACATGCTGAGATAAAAACCCAGACTTTTGGACTAGTGGTTAGTGATTTTGACTGCTAAGCCAGAGTTTGTAGGTTTGATTCCCACGCAAGACAAATAATTGTGTGATAAGCACGATCATTTGTTCTGTGTATGGGTGTAATTTATCTGTAACAGGAATGTATTATATGAATGTTATAGCTGGTTTAGAAATGTAGGTACTCGTATATAATATAATATTTGTCAGCAGTCTGGTTACCATCGTACAGGCTTTGCCTAGTTTGGTATCAGATGGCCGTGTGTGGGATGTATTAGATTATTATTATTATACAATTATTTGTAGTTAACTGCGAGCCCAGACCGAGAGGTAGGGGGGGGGGGTGGGGTTGAACGAGAATTTCACTGCTGTACCACCGCGCCATATTGTCTGTATGTATACACTTATTTGCTACCTCAATAGTGTAACAAAACATTTGAAACATACAACTGCTATTACTCATCTAACAAATACCCAAAAACACGTTAACCTACAATCCCAAATTAGTCCTGAATAGAACTAAACGTCAAAGAAAACAAAGCTCACTACATTATGGTAAGGTTACAATAGCCGTTATGTATAACTAATATTATATAAAATGAGTACACATTAAGAACCCCTTCATAATTACTAGAATAACCTCCAATAGGTTATTGATGTGAAATAATCGCTGTACTAGTTTTTACTACCCAGAAGGGAAACTCCTGAGTTTCCCTTCTGGGGTATACCTGGTTCCCCGACATAATCACCCCCCTGGTGGGTGGTATCCGAAAGGAGGAAAACAAAAGGAGGATTTATCACGCTGTATGTAGGTTTTTACCAAGTGAATTAAAACATGTCATTATATCATTTTATCATGGAATAGAGGGTCGACGATGATGATTGATGGTAAGTTTTTACCATTGTTCATGGACACTGGTTACTCAAGAGGTACCCTGCCGCTGTAAGTGACCCCTCCCCCCCCCCCAACCCAACTATCAAACTAAAATGGATTAGTAGAGCTTTAGAAAACTATATTTACGTTTAGATAAAAGGTCCTGACCCTCATATTATTTACTGTAAATACTACAGATACCCACTAAACAAAATGGCTCCCTTATAGTCAAAACTATATACCTAATCCAAATCTTTACAGACCCTCAAAATTAATACATAACAAGGCAAATTGGCCATTTGCATATTCCTGATAAGCCCGCATTGAACGTAAAACCGTCTGATCACCTCGCTCATGAATTTTCTCTAACTTTCCTTCCTTAATTTAATACAAAATAAGACGTAACTGTAATAAATATAGGTTTGATTACCGCTCAATGCAAATATTATGTAGGTTTACATGTAGTTTGATGTACTATATCTATCTGTAGCTATACACGTACGGACGTACTAGATTTTATCAGTGACTTTAACCGACATTTTTTCCTAGATAAAAAACTTACATTTACGCTATTCCAGGCTATAGTCTATGTGCTAAACTTCATCCAGATCCTCACATCCGTTTTGGCTTAACTAAGCTGCTAAGTAAAAAATATCAATCCATATATCCTCTCAAACTTTCGCTTCTTTTGGACTAGACCAATATCTAAAAGTACTGGGCGTACTTTATCTATAATATGTGTGTTTTTACAAATATATAAGTATGTTTATCAGCGGTCTAGTTGCCATAGTACAGGCTCTGCTTAGTTTGAGATCAGACGGCCCTGTGTGAAATGTGTAAATTTTTTTATTATAACCATTGATGTATTTTTGAAAAATAGATATAAATATCAATTTTAAATGTCAAAGACTGTTAAATCATTATCTATTAAGTGTCAGAGACCAGTTTTATTGAGTTAAGCTTTGAGTTCCGTTTTTTTTTTCATTTTTAATGAAAAAGGAAAGCGCCTTCATCGGCTCTTTTTATTTTTTTCTGACATCTCTCTGTGAAAACTAATTAATTTTTTAATTTGTAGTCAGTCAAACATCGATAAATGATTAGATCACTATACAATGTAGTCAATTTCAGGTTTGAACTCTAGTAACCTGAAAAAAAGACTGAAATGCATGAAGTCCACGCATGAGCATTCCATAAATATCTGATGACATGATAACGATGTCTGCCATTTCTTTATCAAGAGAAGGAAAAAAAGACAACTTAATCACGATTCAAATATAAAAAGATACAATGCGGTCGTGTATTGTATTTGGATTAAAATTGACATCTGAATTATTAGAATAAGATAAAAAGTTTTTTTTTACATGAGCAATAGTTTTATTTATATAAGAACACATTTCATATTTACGGTTTTTCTGCCAAAGTAAAATTAATTAATAGAATATTAGGTATAAATAACTGTCACAAAGAATTTTAAAAAGTACTAAACCTGAACTTCTTAACTTTAATGCATCGTGTACTTTGTGAACCAATAAATAAATAAACAATAATATTAAAAATAAGTCATTTACAAATAAACCCTTGAAACGTTACAGAAATATTTATGAATTGTCATAATTGCCTAATTAATTTCGAAAATAAATAATAAATGTGATAACAACTGCCAAAAGAAAATATCCACATCCAGCCATTATCACTCCACAAAAGTTGTGTGTGTATTGTCAGAAGTAAAATATATTAAGGCCAAAAAAGGTAAACATCTGTTTTATAGAACAAAGGCATTTGATTTATAACTCACTGTTCTTAATTGCTTTCCCAATTATATAACATTCCATTTGTAATTTGGAATAATTTAATTTTAATGGATTTTGATTTCTAATTAGGTCAACAGATACATAATTATTCATGCGTCCCAATTCATTTTCTATCTCTCTCTAAAAGGTTTTATGAAACATTTTATAAATAGACATCGTAATCGTCACGTGTCGTCTAGCTTCCTTGGTCCAAAGCCAAAGAATATCGCTGACGCTGCAAATATCAGAACAAACACTTAATCTAAGTACTCACGGACAAATATGTTGGACATGAGGGTAGCCGGCAGACAAAACACGATCACCAGAATGTCCGCCACAGCCAAGTTCACTATGAAAAAGTTCGTCACAGTCCGCATTCTCGGAGAGCGATACACTACAGCTATCACAAAACAGTTCCCCACCAAACCCACAATAAAGACCAGCAAGTACGCCACGCAATAGACCGCGGTCATCGCACCGCCGTGGCGATACATAAATTCGTCTCTGATGACACCTAGGTCAGACCTGTTCATTGTCACGTTCATCTTCATAGGATAGTGACGGTCCATTGAACCTTCCATATGAGTCGACAGCGGCTCCAGGTCCGGCAGCACAATGCTATCAGGCAAGAACCTACTATTCATCGCCTCCATGATGGTATTCGAGAGCATGTCTATCACATTGTGCTTATGACCCTCCCTCATATGAGAGTGGTTGTGGTGACGCCAATGATGACGCGTCTCGTGACTCGGTGGTGATTGAGTCGAAAAATTATAAATTGCATTTTCCGTAAAATCATTTGGTGATATCCTTAAAGGTGCCATTTTTTTTTAAATTGTTTATGACATTTCCGCAAAGTAATAACACTAAATATTTTTAAAATTAAATTCTAATCACACATCACTAAGTTATAATAATCCTAGTTTCACACATTAAAAGTTTGCAAAGTAATTTCATTCACAAGCTCGCGAGAAAAAGTAATTCTAATAGTCCATTAGAAAAGTATGAAAAGTTCCGTAGCTGTGGCGCGACTGTTCGTAGCGGGTTTTAGGTACGCGTAGTTGTGGCCGCGTTCGCGCGCCGTCTGCCCGTAGCGGCGCTACGGCTACGAGCCGCGTAGGCCCCACCGTCTTGACGCATGTGCAATTGTGCATTTTGAGTAATGACAGGAAAACACAAACTAGCCACTTTACTGTTATATCCGTAATCATATTGTGTATCCATTTTATGGGAAATTTTATAATACACGTTTCAGAAGTAAAGAGAAGGAGTAGAGAGTAGGGATATGATTGGGCTGCTCTGATGATTGCGATTTACATTCAAATGAGATATATACTGCTTTGTATAAGTAATTAGAACAATGTTTTAAGGCTATCGAAAATAAATTAAACTACAAGTATACTCAGTGCATACAGTACAGATAAGTTTTACATGCAAATAGGTGGCTATGGGTTTAACAATAATTAAATTTGTTAAGAGTAAAAATACACACAAAAAAAACTGATTGATTGATTGATTGAGTCACCAAGAGTCCCAAATTTTATTATTTTATTTATTTTATTTTTATTTTATGTATTTTGGATCGCCAACAAACGATACACATTTCTTCAATAATTAAAAAATATATAAAACATGGCCTCGTGCTGATTCAGTAATAGGCAATAAAATTATATTTTACATACATATTATGTACATACATATAGTGGGTGAATATAATGTAAATATGTATGTCTCTATATGTTTTTTATGGTATAAGGTGGCAAACGAGCAGACGAGTCGCCTGATGGTAAGTGACTACCGCCACCCATGGACACCTGCAATTTAAATGTCACAGGATACGATGCAGTATTTTGCCCTTTTTTCTGTGCAGAAATCCCCTCGGATACCGCCCACCGGGGTGATCATTATGACGGGCAATGGCCAGTACCAAACCAGAACCAGGTGTACCCTAGAAAGAAAATCCCTGGTATCCTGACGTACGTCGAGCGTGTAGATGACCCCTTCTGTGTAGGAACCCCTATGTCCTTTTTGTGCTATGAAAGGGAACACGCGCTCCGAAGCTCACCTCGCCTTGGTTCTCCTCTTAGAATCAGGGGGAAATCCCTACAAACCCTGGGATTTGTCGGATTAGCTCGTGAACCATGCCATAAAATAAAGCTCCACGGGCACATTATTATGGAATATAAAACTATATACTACTAAACTATTTATCAAAAGTCTGAGAACTTTAGTTGGGATAACCTTATTTGGAATCAGACGGCCTTGTGTATGTGTGTGTATATATGTGTAAAGTTATTATTAAAAATAAAGTAAGGAAAAGTTAAACAAAACATTTTACTATACAAGAAAAAACAAACACAAAACGGTTGGAGTGTATACGTCGTTTTAACAATTAAGATTGGTATGTTAATTTTACTATTCTATCACGTAGTTGATTTAAATATAGAGATACTATATACTCCTTCTCATCCTCATCACTCTTATGTCTCGAGTTCAAAGCTCCAGCAAATCAATTTGTAATAAACCAAAGACAACGTTTCGAATTAAAATCGTTTGTTTGGTATACAAAGTTTATCGTTATTTGATGTTTTGGTATTATTTGTGATTCCTAGTATATACGACAAGTTGAGAGTTTTAAATCGACTTTTATCATTTATTTTGTAGTAAAACCATTTAACTAACTGATTAATTCACATTTGACTTTCATTTAACCTTCACCATTAAGGAAGAATAATATTATACAAGGATATATATTATTTTCCTTTAAAAGGAACTTTTTCCGATCAATGATCTGATGAACCCCTTGTCTGCTTTTAGATCTAGTATAATAAAAGCGGTAGTAGCTTCATGTAACTCTTTTTGGCCGTGTGTTCAAAGAGACACCAGAATACCGAATTTAATGTTTCCTATTTGCTGAATTCATGAGAAAACAAAGGATTTTTTTCCTCAGAATTATAAAGATCGTTCCTTATTGAAATGTAAAACTAAACGGCATCTCTTTTCTAAAATGGAGAAAAATACAAACTTAAAAAGTGCTTCTGTGGCCGGTATTTCCACATCCATAGCTCGGCAAACATCTAATAACAAAATAAGTAACATGCCTCATAGTTGGTTGGTTGGTGACTCAAATACAATCTTGTGTGGTATAATTGTAAACCAAACTAACCTGGACTCGATTCGATTTAGTATCTAACTCTGCAAAGGGTATACTGGTTTGTTTTATGGCCGTTGATCTTTTTACACGGCTGGCAGACAAAAGGTGAATAAAATTATTTCGCAAGTCTTGGATAGGAAGAGAGTAGCAAAGGAGACCAGGGTAGCAAAAGGATATAAACTGCCTAAGAAAGAAAGAGAAAGAAGATCACTATGTTCTGTGTCTAGGTTTGATTTATCGATAATTTGTGTAAATTTAGAAATATATAAGTATGTTTATTTGCAGTCTGGTTTTCATAGTATAGGTTCTGCTTAGTTTGGGATTAAACGACCTATGGAATATATGAGGTTATTATTATTATTACAAAAAATTCGAACAGAATTACTAAACACTAACACTTTGTGCCATTATTGTTGAAAACGACGTGTAACACAAATAGAAATGTACATCAAACAAACGACACAGACTATTTATGTATGTACTTCATCATAACACTCCGTCTGAAGTTGACAGGACTTCATTCACAGTTTATCTGGTTATGAAATTAGAATAATATCGTCATATTTCAAGACAAGCGTAGTGTGTCGCCAGATAAATTCAAACTTAGTGCAGTTTTCTTTACTTGACTTTAATCCTCAAATTTGTAAATGTTTTAAATACAAACAAAGTTAAATAAAGGATGAGAGGAGGAGAAAATATAATAATATATAATAATATATCTCACACACTTCACACACAGCCGTCTGATCCCAAACTAGGCAGAGCCTGTGCTATGGTAACCAGACTGCTGATAAACATACTTATATATTTTTAAATAGATACATATAAATTACACCCAGACACAGCACAAATGACCGTGCTCATCACACAATATTTGTCCTGGGTGGGAATCAAACCCACGACCTCCGGTTTAGCAGTTTACCAATCTAATGTGTTTTTTTCAGAGACACCATAATGAATCTAATGCCGCTGTACTAGTTATAAAGCTTTTGCGTTACTTAGCAATACTAGGCTTGTTGTTATCGTAAACTTAACAATAATATATACTCCATGTAATACGAACAGGGCAAGTTCTTCTACAAAGTAATACAAAGTTAGGAGTCTTTTGTAGAGAATTGCGTATCTACTAGTGCGTGCAAAGATTTTAGCAGGATCAACTTCAAAGAATCGTCCATTTCTTGAAGTATATTTTTATGAGCGTTTTATTTTGTGACTGATGACTTCAGTTCTACTTTAAAAACAAAGAAAAAACAGTTTTTGAAAGAACCAATTTGCAACTGTACTATTATATACATATATAGAAATATTTTATGAACATTGCGTTCAATTTTTTTTTCCGCTTGTAGTAGGTAGTTTATTGAAATTGCAGTTAACCTGCCTGATTTTAAGCAGCTATCGGCGATTAGAGACCAAAAATAGTAGTACTAGATGTTTTGTTTTTTTGTTGATAATAAAATAATATAAAAGAGACCACTGCCTCCTTTGGACTGTAGACAGTAGTTACCTACTCTTTATAATAGCAATGACAATATGAATTATAGCAGATTATTTTTTTTATGGGGCCAACCAAAGTCCCTGATTTTTATATTTAAAGAGACCGCTTTAGATTTTTTTATTTTGTTAATACATACATACCATAGGCCAAAACCTCCTTTCTAAGGAGAGGCATATGACCAGCAGTGGACTATTAAAGGCTGTTGATGATACATTTTATACAAAAAAAAACACAAAGCCTTTTTAAAATTGACATGGTAACACAAATATTTACCTAGCACGGACATCAAACCTTCGGTGCGGCGTGACATAAGCAAACACTAAAGGATACCACAGAAATCGTAAATTATTACAGATTCTAATTCATTTTTAATCACAGCTTTTAAAAGCTTGAGTGTTACCAGACTAGAGTATTATTTTTGAAGTGAAACTTCTTAAGGTGCATTGGGCATTTTCGTCCAACAAACAAATGAATGTATTTTAGGGGAAAAAACCATTGAACTCGTGACACTGTTAAAATTATCGTTGCCGTTACCGACACCTCAGTGGAAGGGAAAACTTTTTTGACGCGTTGGGCATTTTTTAGATGGAAAAAAATAATTGAACTCGCAACACTATCACTGTTACCGTTACCGACACCTCTGTATATAAGTTTTCACTTCTGCCGGCACTATCCTACAGGGTAAACGGTACAGGACAACTACAACTCAAGAGCCCCAAGTGCTTTGCCATTTACCATTTTTTTTACCAAAATACAAGATTTTTTCATATCATTACTTCAAATGTCGTCTAGAGACGCGAAGAAACACTCGTAGAATGTCAGGACATTTAGACTTTATAATAAAACCCCCTTGAAAAAACAGTTTAGTACTAAGTGAAGGAAATATTAAACGACAATCACTACCATAAAGAAAGTTCTGAGAATTATTTGTCATTTAAAGTACAATAGGTACACATTACGTACCAAGGTTGGTGTATTTGCCCAATGTTGGACCATAGGTTACGGTAATGGAGCGATTGATCTAGTTTACCTTGTACGAAGTATCAAAGTACCCATAATTATGCACATGACACACTTGATAGATCAATACAGCGATTGTTCGAATGCTTATTCGTTTGGCAAACATTTTGCAGCAAACTGATTAAGGACATAAAAATTCGTTAGTTTAAATTCAT